AAAAAAAGATTTATGGGTGACTGGGCGACATTTGTTTTATGGAAAAGTGTTGAAAATGGCATTTTCCTCTTTCCATATTATACATTCAATAATCGTTCACAGAGAAACGCTTTTCCTCCTCCTCCTCCCACGCCACCTCCAAACTCGATGCTTTAAAGTTTTTTACCTTTTCTTTTGAATTGTTTAGAAAGCCTGCTCCTTTTCATGCAGAAAGCCGGATAATTGCTATTTCTACATTTTGTTAGCTAGAATTTTCTCATTCACTGTACTGAGAAGGCTAATCAGCCAAGTGGAACGCTCCTTGCATTTCATCAGGTGTACCAAAATTTAGTATTTTCCCCCTGAAGGCACTCGTCACAAAAAGTGGACGCAATCAAAAGTAACTCGGGTAGTAGCATATGCCAACAGCAACCGCACGCTGGCAAATCTGTCGATTGCTTCGTCTTTCGAAGGCTGCTTAGAAGTAGTGGAGGATTTGACTTCATGATAATTTGCGTCACAGGGGGAAGAGGAGGCGGGGAGGAACGAGGAGGGGCGGAGTGGAGAGGTTGGGTAGTAACTTGCTCTTGTAGTAACTTGTAGTAACTTGCTCAATGTGTTGTGCATCAGTCGTTGTAACAAAATGGCGTGAAGGGAACTGGATTTTTAATATTTGAAATTGAAATTTAAAAAAAAAGGAAATATTCGTTTGCAATGCATAAAGGAAATCCACGCATCAGAGGTTTATTTGCACTCTGCATAACTCCCATTTTTCCCGCATCAAAGGTTTATTTGCATTCTGCATAATGTTCGTTTTTCCATCATTAAAAGCCTGAATAACAGGCTTTGAATGTTAGAAAACAGAAATTACTTCACAGGTGCCTAGGTGACCACACAGTTAAGTGCATGGGAGTGGTGCTTTTTGCTTTTCCAAAAATGACGTTTTGAGTTGTAAGCGAACAAGAGGTCCTGTTTTCTTCAGTATTCTCCTGTGACCAGTTCTTCCAGCGATGTTGCATTTGGTCTCGGATTTTTTTATAAAGCCCCGGAGAAATTGTATCTGTGAAGTAGCAGTCCTCGGAAAAGAGAGTCTCTGGTAGCCTTGTGACGTGTATTTGCTAATACCACGTGCTTGGGCTACTTCAGGAACGGAAGTTTCTGCAACGATATGAACCGAATAAAATTGAGCTTGCTATTCCCATTGTCTTTGGAGTTATGACGAATTAACTGTTATTTGTCGGTCCTAGTAACTCACATCACAATTTGTGAATTTCCGTACGTGGCACCCAGTTTTTGCTGGCTTTTCGCGGCCTCCGCTTCTCCGGGTGAAATTAATTTTGACCTCCCGATTAACAAGTAATTTGCTTAGATCTATCTGCTATCAGTGGAACATGTTCGCATTACCGGCAATGGATGGATGTTGCTTACTGATGAGTGTTATCTATGAGAAGGAAAAGAACCACTTGGGCAGCCCACCGAAAAGGAAGTGATTTCAGGAAGCTACCTCAAATGACCTAAGGCCCCGAAAGTATCGAATATGCAGCGGTTATTAACTGGAGATATGCAGCCCAGGACTGAAGGGCTTGAATACAACTACGTTTGGTGTGCCGAAATAAGTCAGTAGCACCACTAACGTGTGGTACTCGTCCTGTGCCCAGGCGATTTTGACAAAGGCACCCTTCGTTTTGACAAATTTTGAAAAGTCAAAGACAGCCTTCGTCAAGACAGCCTTCTTGACCACTTCGTTGACGAGATAAACGATGGTGGTCAGCAACGGTGAAATTAACAGTAACACTGTGCATCTTTAATATGCGATTGCAAAACTTTGACGAAGTAGTTTGCACAACTTTGACCGATATGATATAAAAAACTTTGTAAATTACTATGTGGTAAACCTGTGTCTTTGACTTGGCTAGCTCTGCAGAGGGTGTGAAAAAAACGCAGTGTGAAGAAATCCTTCGCGGCGATCTAATTCTCGAAAGTCTAGCAGGAAGTGGATAGGATAGAATGGCTACAACGATTTTGGTTTTACATATCACTAACCGATTGTGGACTCCAGAAGTTATGATGAAAACCTAGGATGTACTGTGTAATGATTTCAGATCGCACAGCTATTCGAAAAAAAGCGATTTTTGGCAAATAAGCTTTTTTCCTCGATTTTTCGTGATTGGGAGATTTAAGAGCTTCTAAACTGCTAGCATGTAATTTAGGGCAAAGACTCATCATGATGAATGATTACGTTTGTGTGTGTATGCATTTGGGAGGAAAAGTGGAGGACAGGGGGAGGTGAAGGGAGGGCGAGAAGCGAAGAGAGGAGAATCAGAAACGGTGAATTTGTGAAGCAAAGATAATTGCTGTGCCTTCTAAAAATCGTTTTTGGGGCATTTTGGACGGACGAAAGGAGGCAAAGGTAAAGTGAGGGGCAAGTGGATGAAAATGGACGTTGCAACTACTTTCGTTCAGTTCTCCCTACGCTGCTTCTAGCCCTTTGCTTAGCCCCGTTTTGTTACTTCCAAATTTGCCTTCCTTCTTTCACGACTGCTTCTTCCGGAACAGTCATTTCGTTTCAAACGAATTCATTTTGCTACTCAAATAACATGTGATTTTTTTAAAAATCTTCGTATTCATTTTATTTAAGAGAAGGAGCACTCGGAAAGTTGCTAGAGCACTTGGCTAAGTTGTCGATGGCTCCCTCTTTTGATGGTTACTTATAAGCAAGTTGATGGCGGCTTTGACTCCGTGAAGTACGCCAGCACCGATTTACCCTAGAAATGAATGAACGAATCGTGGACTGATTGTCCTCACTGGCAAAGTCGATCCATCGACAACAGTGTTACTTTCTTTGTCACGCCAGCAACATGATTTGTAGTTTTGGTATAAAATTCAGTTTTTTTCATTTTGGTTGTGTTGGTTGTGATTAAAACTCGATTTTAGGCCATAACTACAGTTACTTCATCAGACATTTCATTAGCGCGTAATTGCTGTAATTTGTTAACAGAATGCTTGAATCGGGATGGTTGCCGAAGTAAAATCCTGAAGTTTTTTTTCTGCTGCGAAAGTTTGGGCTGTGCCGAGAGAATGATGGGTCTTTTCTGTTTTGAACACCTGTTGATTTTGCATGTCCAAGTAGTCTAGTAATCTTTATTTGACTTTCTCCTGCCCTTTGAATATTTGCATATTGCCCAAAGCAATTGATAACTTTTCCACTTGCTTTGACCAATGCTGCTTCGCCTAGTGGTCAGCCTACCTGCGATATTGACATCCGGCTATTGGTCAGCCTGAAGGAATTACCAGCTCAGTGGTTATCCCAACAGAAACACTTGGCTGTGGTTCTGCCACTTTACTTATGTTGCATTTAGTTTGCTAAATTTGCATACATGCTATAAAAAATGAAATCGACGAGCGCAAAATGAGTACGCCCGATAAGAATACAAACTTTTTACAGCCGGTAATGGATGCAGCAAGAAACTAACCTTGAAATCTGAAGTTCTGGTAATGCTTTACAATATCTGTGCTGAAAACATGAAATATTCTTTAGCTGAAGTTATTTTTCCAGTTGGCATCAACTGCATCCTGGTTGCGTACATCGTCAGCCCTGTGATTCAACATTTCCAGTTTTATTAATATTACTATTATTCTGATTACTGTTGGTATTATTGTCTGTGGCTTTTTAGCCCTGCGTCAAATGCATCAGCTACAGTAAAAATTTAAATCCTTCACATAAAAAAAGCGAGGCTGAACCCGAAGTGGACGCTAAATTCTCGAAAATCTAGCGAAACTGCGTGTACATTGTTCTTAATGCGAACACATATATAAAATACTGAATCTCTATGAAATCTTTTCCGTTGATTCTGAAACATACTTACGTCAGGAATCACGTCGTTTACGTCAGATCGCACACTTCCAAGGCTTCTCCCATTAGTGTTGTCCTGACACGAGCATTATATATTCGATTAATTTAATTAATTGCTTTATCCGAAATTGATGCCTCAACCCTGAGTCTACCTCAGCCCAATTAAATTTTGTAGACCTTTTTGTCTGAAATCACCTATTTACCTGGGGAGAACGTTCCTGAGTTCTACCCATCATTGGTGCCAGTTTTTCACGAGTGACGCAACGCTGAGTAATTTAAGTTGGATTCTTGACGTTATGTGTATCCTGGGGGAAATATCATCGTTGATCTCATATTTTACGATGATTATTTTGAGTTCCAATCTATCGTTACTACTCTTTTTATTGTCTGACTAATATTTTTAATGCCTGTTTCACTGGCCAATTTATTACTCCCTCGTCCATAATCTCGCTTTTGGCTTTATTCGTTCATTAATGTTCGAACTAGGGGCAAGACCGCTCCACTCATACAACTGGATGATTAAGTCATGGATTCTATTTTAACGCTGTTCCAGGAGAAAGTTTTTGTTACTTCATCTGGAATTACGAGGCTGTTTTAAGATTCGACAGTCGTCAGTATCATTTTGCTGAAGACAGGTTTTCGCAGAATCTCTCTAAACTGCAGATCTTACGACTATCAGACCCACTTTTTTTCCCGAATCATCAGACAAATTGGAGATTCAACGATTATGAACCGCAAGAAAACTCGAGAATCTTTACTGCTGTTAGGAACTGATTATGAAGAACCGTGATTCTGCTGAAAATCAAAAGATTGAAACCACCTCGAAAAGTGGAGAATTGTAATTTTAATCGAAATTCCAGAGCAACTGGATTAATTTAAAGAGCTTGCAATTCAAGAAGCTTCATCTGGCCGATCCGAATATCGAAGAAAAAAAGTTTTTCTTACGTTTGTTATCAATCAAATGTCAGCAGCTCTCCAGAATTCTGAAAGCAACGGGCTGGTACCACTGCCGCTACAGGGTACAAATGATGAAGACAGCAATAGGAACGGTAAAAGTGCCATAGATTCAAGTGAATTCAGTGGAGTTCTGCAGTCGAATCTTCAAAATTGCCGAGACACATTGTTGGATAAATTTGAAAATCTGGCAAATCAACTTTCTGCTGGCTGGAAGTACCATATCACAAATACAGAAGGTATCCGTGAAGCCTGGTTGAGCTTCGAGGATTTCTACACCGAGATATGCTCACTTGGTAACAGTATCAATCGCACTCGAGGTCATTCGGTGAATTCACTTTTTTCCGGCTCACAGTATAATCAACTGGATGAGAATTCTCGGACACCGGAACGTTGCCAGGAATTGCTGATGGAAAAAGTTGGCGCAATTGCTGGGAAGCTGTTGCCGAATTGGCTGTTTGCGATCGCAAATACAGAGGAGCTTGCAGAGACCTGGAATGATTTCGAGCGCTATTTTCAGCAGATATGCGTTCTGGATCGCGGTAAGTAATAAATCATTTAGTTTTTCGATCGGTATCAGTGTGACTAATTCTAAATATGAATAACTTAAATATAAAATTAAAGTTTCCGTCTGAACTTAGCGATATTACTGGCATACTGTTGCTCATCATGCCTAACTGTGCGGATCTTGTTTTTCATGGTATGCTTTTTAACTTTAATTTTATCTTGTTTTATCTTGCCCTAACTGATTTCGACTAAGTCTAGAATTTGACTTTCCCTTCGGATCACTTCGTTCGGATCACCTTCCGTTCGGATCATTTCTGAAAATACGAGCGCCGCCCGGAGAGTCAGCGTGGGAATCTTATATTAGTGATGTTACTGGAATACTGTTCCACCTCAAGCTGAACTGCGCCAATTTCCTTGACTCAGGATTGTACACTTTCAGTTAGTACGGGGCTACCGCATTAAAGTTTTCATTATTTATTTGTCAATACTACGGTTTCGAAGTTACTGTGTGGGCGTGCAAGACGACTGAAAAATTTTAGCTTTCTTTATATGAACTCTTTAGGAAGTGCTTCAAAAGTTCTTAGCTGTATTTGTTCCCACATTATTATCCGAAAGTGTCGTACTACTGCTAAAGTACCACGAATCCTGCGAGGGCGCCGCGAAGAGGGGAGAGGGAGCGAGAAGAGGAGAAGCAGTGGAAAACAAAATAAGAAGTGAAGAAAATTAGGAAGAAGGTAACTATTAGATGCTGGACTAATTTATTTGTTGCTATGTGTTGTGTGTGTTGAATGCCTGTGTATGTCTGTGTGCATTTGTAAGTGTATGTATATGTCAGTAT